GGCACAATATCTGTACCACAGATTGTGTATAATATATATATATATATATATATATATATATATATATATATATATATATATATATATATATATATATATATATATATATATATATATATATATAGAAGAATATTTAACTTCCGGGTTCTTACTAACACTGATGACACCATCATGGATTGAAATTAGTCAAAATATATTTGATATCGCTGACAATCATAACGAATGCAGCCTAAACAATTAGAAATATGCAGCAACGTATAACAAGAATTTGCGAGTAAATGGCTAGGATAACATTCGTGGATCCCGGTCATAAGGATCCATAGTCCCTTTCGGACTCTGCTCTTTTGTTGCTTCTCCTGGAGAACTTTCACACGTGGCGTCGCTGCTCTCCTCCCGGAGCACTGCTGGTTCTACATCACCTTTGGCCAGTGATTTACCGTGTGGATTCCAACCTGTTTCTTTGGTGAGTCTAAATCCGTACGAACGAATCACGTCTGGTAAAATCCGATTGAGTCCTTCGTTTTTGCGTAGTGGGCCTCTGTAAACCGGTTCGCATTTTACTTTCCCTGACCTCTTGCCTTCATTTCCTCTTGTGATGGCTAAAGGAGTCTGTCCTAACTCGTCCTCCAGTCTACAACCATCTGACTCGGAGACACGATGTGGCAAATTGAGATGCTTAGAACCAGTGACCAACTCCACTGGTGGAATGCAGTGACATCTGCTGTCGCTCGTTTCACGAAAGATGCACTGGTTTGAGTACAGAGCAGTATAATGTGACGGCGAATAGTGAGAGTGTGCTTTTTAGTTGTCCCACTTGTTGCAAACACAGAACTCGATGTGGTTCGCTTTTGGATGCAAGGTTTCCGGCACTTGTTTCCAGGTTAGAAAGCATGGAAAACCTGCTTTCGTTGGTGCCTGACCTGGACCGGAAAGTGACGGGGATTTTAACTAGCCTTGAAAACGTATGGGTGTCTGACCTGCGGAATACCGAGGGTTTGTGCGACTCCTCGGACTGGAGCAGCTTGACGATCTTACCGACTCCGGTGAGCGCTTCTGTTAATGGCGACCCGTCAGACGGTGTCTTCAACTCAGCACCTAACGAGTTAAAGGAAGCGAAGGAAGACTAAGAAGGCAGTAACCTCACCCAAGGTTGAAGCGAATTGGGCCGCAGCATGTATGGCAAGCCTCTACAGTATAAAGCAACCGGAACAGTGTTCTATCGCCGTTCCGCTAACTCCACAAGCTCCGTTTAGCGCAACCAATGATTCTAAATCGGTAGGGGATAAGTTGTACATGTCCCCACCTAGTGGTTCTGTAACACGCGGTGTAAATACCCCACGTCGAAGAGACATGTACACCGATAGTAGCGTAATCTTTAGAAATGTCATTGAGTCCTCTGCCGTATCTGCAAAAGAAAGGATGCCACATGATCTCGAATGGTTTAAAATGCTCGTTACTAAACTCCTGCCTCCTGGATTCCCTGGAGTGACTTTGCGTAAGATAATCAGGCTTGGATGCGTACTGGTCAGTAGTCCCACTCCAAGGCCTCGATTACTGCGAGCGGTACTTTGCATAACAGAGGAGCGACAAGCACTTATGCGGTTTGCTTTTAAAATTAAAGGTTCTGGAATCAGCATACAGCCGGACCTTCCTCTAGCGGACAGAGAGAACTAAAAGCAGCCATCCAAGGCATGTCGCGCGGCGGAGGAAAGCGGTCTGCGGTTGGTGGGTTTTCGGGTGGTGCGCCGGCGGTCCACTTCCGTCATGCCAGAGCCCATTCTGGTGGCGCACGATCCTGGACTCACCATACCAAAACCCTTAATGTAGTACTCAGTAACGTGCGTAGCCCGCGCAACAAGCTATGTGAAGTTGGCGTTCTTGTGGACCACTGTCACCCAGATGTCCTCGCTTTCACTGAAACGTGGCTGTCTGCGGAAGTCATGGACAGTGAAATATTCCTACCTGGCTACGCACTACTGAGGTCGGATCGCCCCTGCGACCGTCGTGGTGGTGGAGTTGCACTCTACCTAAACTCCAGTTTAAGTGTCTCCAAGACATTTAGATTCCACTCAACGGATAGGACCGTAGAAGCCCTTTCGGTTGAAGTGGGTACCCTGTCTTTGCAATTTAAAATTGTGTTAGTGTATAGAAGTCCTGATAGTGTTTCTACAAGTTACGTCGATTTTATTCGCGCTCACTCTACAAACCGATGCTTGGTGATGGGGGACTTTAACTTTCCAGATAGATTGGCGCAAACTCTCCTGTGAGACGGCGACTACAGGCTTGGCTGGAGAGCTCGTGGAGCTGATGCTCCAAACCCTCTTACATCTGTTTGTAGATCAGCCAACAAGGTTTATGGAGGGACAGTCTCCATCTATTCTTGATCTTATTTTCGCAAAATCAGTTGATTTCGTAAGTAACATAGTTTACGGTCAGCCGCTTGGAGCTAGTGACTACGCCTGCATTTCCTTCGAGTGCGCTGTCAATAGAGTCCAAGAGAAATGCGTGGCTAGACGCCCAAACATCTGGCGTGCTGATTTTCAGGCAATGCGATCCAGAGCTGCCTTGTCACCCTGCACCATCTTGGCCGCAGATGATATGCAGACGGCATGGGAGAAATTCAAGGCATTCCTCTCTGAGGTGTCCCTTCCCCACATTCCGCTTTCATTTGGAAGTAAAGCAAACTCCAAGCCACCCTGGTTCGATCTAACCGCACGTCAACTGCTAAACAGGCGGGCCAGGTGTTGGCGGAGTTACCTTTCGACTCTGTCAGATGATGCCTTGCGGTGTTATCGAGCGGCACGGAACAAGTGTAAGCAGCACCTAAGGGATACCAGGCTTCGTTACGAACTGGAGCTAGCAAACACAGCGTCAAGCAATCCGAAGCGACTTTTCGCTTACGTCAGAAGACGATGCCGTGCGGATTCATCCATCCCGGTGTTGTACGGACCTGATGGAGTTACTGCGCATACCGACCACGATAAGGCCTGCCTTCTCGGCGAGCAGTATGCGAAAACGTTTATCTCGAGTCTCCTTTACCAACTATCGATTTAGATGAGAAAGTTCCGGCAGACTCTTTGTTGACCGATATCACCGTGTCAGAGGCCCAGGTGCGTTCACTGCTGCGAGAACTGAACCCTACCAAAGCCGCTGGTGTTGATGCCATTCATCCAAAATTGTTATATGAACTGGCAAATGAAATTTGTGGGCCCGTAGCTTGCCTGTTTGAGAAGTCTCTTACCAGTTGCACCTTACCCACCGACTGGAAGGAAGCTGTAGTTTGCCCCATCTTTAAAAAGGAGATAAGCATCTTCCTGTAAACTACAGGCCTGTCAGTCTAAGCTGTGTGCTGGTTAAGTTGCCAGAAAAGCTGGTGATGGATGCCCTCGAAAACCATTTAAGGATGTTTGGTCCCCTCAGCCCATCTCAACATGGTTTCCGCAAAGGATACTCCTATATGACCAACTTGATGGTTGCTCGGGAAAGTTGGGCGGAGTATGTCGATCAGTGTCAGTTAGTGGATGTGCTATTCGTTGACTTCTCCAAAGTGTTTGACTCTGTCCCGCATACTCATCTTTCCCTTAAGCTCCGTTCCTATAGAGTTTTCGGACGCGCTTCAATGGCTATCCGCATTTCACGAAGGGCGGGAGATGTGTGTTAACGTGGGCTCCAGCCTTTCTTCCCGACAGGTAGTTCTGAGTGGTGTCCAGCAGTGCTGGGGCTGCCTACCCTCATGTTCGCCGACGACTTGAGGTTTTGGTGCGACCCCGATGCCTTCCAAGTTCTACAACAGGCTCTTGACAGTCTCCCCGATTAGTCCGTTCTGTGGCAGATGCCAATAAACTACAGCGAGTGTTCAGTTTTGTGCATAGGATCAAGTGGTCCGACAATGCACTACATGCTTGGCAATAATGAAATTCCTCACATATCCCAACAATTTGACTTAGGGATCAGTTTGTCTCAGGACTTTAAATCCAGTGAGAACTAGAAGAAAGCGTCTTGCAGGGGTTTTCGAATCCTCTGGATGATCCGTAGATTACCTGGGATCATAACTGAAGAAATGTTTAAATTGTTTACGGCCTTTGTTAGACCGCACCTAGAGTATTGCGTCCAGGCTTGTCCTCCTTGCCTGATTCGTGACGGGATGGCGGTAGAGCGGTTCTTGAGAATTAGAACCAAAATGGTTCACGGGTTGCGGCACCTGTCCTATCCTGATAGGTTGCTGAAGCTAAGGATGTTTCCGTTACATTATCGTCATTGTGGCGACCTGATTATCACTTATCGTATACTGACAGAGCGGATAGGTCCAGACCATTCTTGGCTTTTTCATCCTACAGTTACCTGCTCTCCGCGGGCATCCGATGAGACTGCACAAACAGATCTGATCGGGTTGGGTTTGACACTCGTTTGTCACGCCGCGACTGATCCTTGGAACGCACTACCTTGTCATTCACGGTGACCGAATCCAAACGTCGCCTCGACGCTCTCAACTTGCAGCTCCGAATCTTCCCCTTCTCTTAATTTAGTTGCAGTTGGCTTTCCAGCTATCTTCCTGCTTATTCACTCTTATTCATTGTTCTCGATCGTACCCTCCCGCTTACGTCTAGTCTACAATATTCTTTTCCATTTTTTATTTCACACCGATCTTGCCACCGCATTCTAACGTGGATCAAAGACGCCTACAGAATCGAACGATCATGGGAATTTTCTTTTGTTCTAGTTTCATTGGAAGTTGACTAAGTTCTGCTGGTTTTCCTGAGTGCCCAATTTCCGTCGGATATCGGAGTAGAAAGTGTATGATAAATGAAAGCTTTCAAATCGGAGAACCAGTGTTTAAGCAGATACAAAAATGGTGCTTAATGGTCTATAGGCATCATTTATCACAATTTCATCATTATTCGATTCGGGTAGCTGAGGGGCAATATTGGCTTAATGCGTCAAAATAAGGTCTCTGGGCACTGAAAACGGGCTCTCTAGGATTTTTCATTAACTATGGTTACCTGGACAATCGTTAAAAGACAGCAGGCTCTATTCCTGCATGAACAAAGAGTGGAGACCGATGGAAAACTACTCATCAGCGCTGTGAATAGTTGTGTTGAATGCCAGATCTCCGCCCGAAATTCATTCCGTCGCAGCTTTCTACGGACAGAAATCGGACGAAAATCTGACACACTGCAAACGTTCGTGATATCAGGGAAGTTAACGATTACTAAAGGATTACGAGGCGAGCCCCAAGTCCCCAAGTACCCCAAAACGCTAGACCGTTGCACTCACAGAGAGGCAGAACATTGCATCGATTAACGCAAATCGCATGTTGGTACAATTAATTCAATAAAACATGTTAATATTGTACGGAATAAAAAATAGGTTCAGATGGGACTGGAACGATAGGAAAATCCCTTGACTGTTCTTTCTTGAGGGGATCGTTGCGCCAGAAAATTATTAGGTCCTAGGATGTCAGGTCAGGTCAGATGGACAATAGAGGCTTCCGCCTAACGAGCGTCCAGTTCTTGTGCCGGTAAGTGAATCGGCCCCCAGCACTTCGACGTTGGATTGTTTCTTGCTTCTGCAATGGAATGATGCAAGAACAAGAGCAGTCTCTGCACTTTCATATGCCAGCATCAAGATACACTACATATACCAATACAACTACAATAGCTCTGGAAAAAGGGTGGACCAACAATTGTCTAAGCCCCTTTTGAAGGCTGCTACGGTCTCAGACTCCACTAAATCAGAAGGAAGTTTATTCCAGAAGTTAACTACTCGGTTCGTAAAAAACTTTGCCCTGATGTCCAAACGTGCTCTGTGATGTTTGAGCTTCAGGCGATGCCCGCGCAGATGGTCTGACGTAGCCAACTCAAACAGATGGGTGGAACTAATACCACTAAGTCCCTTAATGACCTTAAACGTCTCTAGCAAATCCCCTCTCAACCTACGCCGCTCCAAGGAAAATAATCCTAAGCTACTTAGACGATATTCGTAAGACTTCCCTCGTTGACCTTCAATCATCCTGGTCGCAAGTTTCTGAATCTTCTCTATACATATGATGTCACTCCGGAGGTACGGTGACCAGGCCTGAACACAATACTCCAGATGTGGCCTGACCACTGCTTTATATAAGGGCAAGAATACTTCTGCTTTAATGTTACTCAGCGCCCTCCTAAGACGAAATAACGCTTGTCGTGCTTTATTGGCAGCATGGCGACACTGTGCCGAACGCTTAAAATTGTTCGCTACGATGACACTTAGATCACGGGCTTCGTCAGTACATCGCCATTATAGAGATCCCACAGAAGACTGAACTGCAATTCCGCTACCACTACTAGTCGATAGTTGACATTTGTTGGCATTTAGAGGTAGGTCCCATTGGCTTGACCAATTCGCCACAGTGATGATGTCCTAAGCCAATGTCGATCGGTTCCCCCTACTGACTAGCTTCAAGTCATCTGCGAAGATGTAGCAGGGATCCTCAAGAAGAGGAGCCAGGTCATTTATAAACATAAAAAACAGCAATGGATCCAGAACCGAACCTTGGGGGACACCACTGTAGGCATGGCCAACACTAGAACTCGCTTCCCCAACCCTGACTCTGAATGTCCTTCCACGTGAGAATTCAGAGAGCCATAGTAATAGTTAAAGATGCAATCCAAACCATGTCAGCTTCCAATTAAATATCGATGATTCACGGAGTCAAAGGCTTTACTGAAGTCCAAATAGCACACCTCTACCGATATCCCACTATCAAGACAACGGGTAATCTCGCCTAAAAAGCACAGTAAATTGGCAAGACAAGACTTCTTTTTGAGAAAGCCATGTTGTTCCGCTCGAATTAGATTGTGCTCAGTCAAGTGCTCACAGATCCTGTTCCTTATAAGCTTTTCCAAGCATTTCAGCATGATGCTGGTCAAACTAACAGGTCTATAGTTAAGAGGCACCGACTTAGAACCCCCTTTGTGGATGGCAACAATAGTGGCCTCCTTCCAATCACGTGGCAGCTTGCCTTCTTGAAGCGACTGTTTGAAGTACTCCGCTACGGGATGCTGAAGGACTTCAGCCAGCGGCTTAACTATGGCGGGATGTACGCTATCAGGACCGGCTGATTTATAAGGGTTCAAATTGGCCAGCACTGAAGACCTCTGACACACTGAGAATAATTTCCCGCATTGTGTAGCTAGTTGAGCAGTGCGGCTGTGATGGCAAGGCTGACCCACTATCCTTCCGATGCAGGCTTTGGTAGACAAGTAGCAGCACTTCTACTTTATCGACGTCGTCTACAGCCTGGGTACCGTCCTCCATGGTTAGACAGCCGACGACCTCTCTTAAAGAAGCCTTTGACTGAACGTAACTGTAATAACACTTGGGATTAGTTTTCGCGAATTTGGCCAACCTAAGCTCATATGAGTACTTCGCTTGCCGCTGTAACTTAATAGCCATGTTTCGACACCTTTTGTACTGCAGCGAGCTTCTAAACCCCCGAGTTTCTTGATATTCTCTCCACTCAGCATTGCGCCTCTTTATCGCTCTCTCAATTTTTCTTCTCCACCATCGGGGTTTCCCAAGAGGTCTTCTGGGGCGAAGAGGAGCAAATTCATTCAGCAACTGTACAAGTCCACTTTTAAGTAGAAGCCACCTCTGTTCCAAAGTGGCCTTGTCCTGCTCAGGAACCCAAGTGATCTGAAGGGCTCGATCCCGCAGCTTCGTAAAATCAATATGGATTCTAAGCGAAACACCTGATCCCTAAACTAAGCAACCGATTACTACTCACGTTATTTGCACTAGCATTCTTCTCTGTGTAGGTCAAATGAAGTAAGGAAGACGTAAAAATTTGTAAAAGTTGAAATGGGGAAAGTCATTTAAATGAAGGATAGCACCAAGGAATGAGGAGAATGGCAGTATATGAACTCAAACTAGGATATGATCAGCGGGCGTCTACCTGAAGTTTGCACCCTTAACCGTAGTTTTACTTGCTACACCATCTGGAAGCGCGTTCCATCGAACGACAATTCTTCGCGATAACCGATTTTCCGCCCAGATCCGGTCGGAACGCGGCTTCCGTAGCTTCATGGGATGAGCTCGAAGAATAGGTAACCTAGCCGGGATAAATAGCCAGATCAATTCCCGATCAACCCTTGTTAAAATACAGTAGATAAGGATTAGGTCGCCTCGAAGCCGGCGGTAGTGCATTGAATACGTACCTAAGCTAAGTAGACGCTCCGGTTACGATTGCCCATAAACCCTCGACCAATTTTGTAAAAACTCTCAAAACCCTCTCGAGGTCCATTTTGTCCTGAACAATGCAGTGAGGGCAAGCCTAGACGCAGTATTCCAGATGAGGCCTAACGAAAGCTGAGAACAGCTTCACAAATATGTCGGCAGTTAATACCCTAAACAAACGGCGTATTAACCACAATATTCTGAAACCCCTAATTGCGGCCTTCTTCCAGTTGTCAACAAAATGCAAAGTAGAGGAATGGATCACGTTTAGGTCTATCTGGTTGGAGACAATGGGGAGTTCGACTCCACCGAGCACCTATCTCAAAGCTGGCAACGTGGTTACTATACGAAGGACGGAAAAAATTCCTGATTAAGGTGCGGTAACCACAAAGTAGACCGGTCCCAGAGTCTGCCGAGGGCATTCTGTATGACTTCAGAATCCCCCGGCACATTTCAGCCCTCCATAGTCTAAGATCATCAGCAAACCTTAATGATGATACACCAAGCTACGTGTACGTAGATGGAAAACAGTATCGGTCCAAGGACCGAGCCCTGTGGGACACCGCTAAGCACCGCTTGTCTAAAGGAGAAGCTGCGAACCACACGTATACACTGCTCTCTTCCCTGCAAGAATGCAGATGTTCAGTGGGGGGCGCGACCAGATACGCCCCGGGAGCTCAGCATTTGTGATAGCCTTAAGTGGGTTCCATTATCAACTTCTTTGAGAAGTTGACGAAACACACATTTACTACGTGGCCAATGTCTACCGTCTCGACCCAAGCTTCACGAACAACTAACAAATTGCTCCTACACGCAAACCTTTACCGGAATCCCTGTTGTAAACTACTGAGTAGATTAAATCCATCCAGGGGCCTTTGCAAGGAATCTCTTACCATCATTTTAGACAGTTTGACCACGATGCTAGTCAGACTGACCAGCCTATAAGTGGCGTGCAAATTCCTGTTGCGTTATAAACATAGGACAGAGAACAGACACCTTAAATTCAGAGGGCAATGTACAGCTGTTAAGTGACTTCTGAAACACCGCCGTCAGCGGTCCACTTAGTTCCACCACTAACTAATGCTGAAGCTTCGGGGGAATTGAATCAGATCCAGCTGCTTTAGAAGGGTTCATTTCTTGCAGCAGGCTTAGGATTTGTGTTTTCACCACAGGAAACTCAGCTAAATAAAACCTTCGGGGACTCTGGGCACAAGTTCAACGCTAGTCAACGCGAACTCACGTACCAAATAACTGCATACGACTCATCAAGCACACGAGCCTTATCTCAGTTCGCATACGCATCGGTTCCATAGGACGTCAGCAAATTTGGAATTACCGATCTTGAACCACAGCGTCTCTTAACATAAGCGAAGAACTCCGGATTTTTCGAATC